ACTTTGAAATAATTATTTTTAAAATGGCTTATATTTAAGTTTTAAAATGATAATATAATTAAGGGTAACAAGTGCTGGGGAATTGAAATATAAATTTTATTTGGATTTTAAAAGCGTTTTTTGCTCCAACCTCAAAGTGTCTGTGTCTTTGTTAGTGCATTTGTAGATACCCGAGGTATTAATGCCGCATACTGAAAAAATAAATTGTTAAAATTACAACAGCTGCATGCTCTAAAATCGTTATTTGAACGTTATTATACCCGTGTTTGCTCTGGAAAAAAAAAACTCGCTTTCTTGAGGACATTTAAAGGGCCCCTTTAGCATTTCAGTAACAGGACCAGGCATTAAGTGTGGAAGGTAGGCGTGGACATAGTATTTTAAGGGGGGAAATCGAGTGCAGAAAATATTAGCTCTTTTTCTCACTAAAACTGTTCTTTGAATGACACTAAGGTATTTATCCCGTTTTAAAATAATAGTCAATGTAAAATTTGCCCGTTTGATAATAATATGTAAATTCCATCAGTACTTTTTAGTACTTTGAATTTAATATATGTGATGTCAAAACGCGCACTCGGCTAAGACTGGTGTCTTGCGGGAATTATTGTTTACGACCCCAAAGAAAAGGGCTTTTGGGGGGGCGGAACCCCGGGGGGTCGCAGAAAACACAATGCCTGAGACACGTTTCATAAAACGGGTCTTTACGGACGTTTACGCAGAACGTACGACACCGATAACTAAAATGTTCGGTAAAGACACGTTGATTAAGCGGCCCCCAAGAATGTATTTAAAAGGCTTTTCCCCCTCTAAAATTCTTATATATTTTTACGACCTTTCCCTGTTTATATCGTTGTCATTAATAGAATAGGACTTAATTTGTAAGGGAATGACTGGTCAAATTTCTAGGACGCTTTATTGGGATTATCCGAAATAGCAAAGGAGTTAAAAATAACTTCTGAGCAAACGAACAGATGAATGAAGCAAAGTCATATTTTCTAAAGCTTTTTTTTAATGGCAAAAGAACCTTTCAAAAAATTAAATTAAATTTGTAAATCTAAGAACACAAATATTTTTTTCTATAACAATAGAAACAAATAAAAGTTTTAATGAAAAATAAATTATCAAAAAGTCTAATAAGATGACGATGCCATTTTTCTGAGCTAAATCTTGCAGTTAAAGTACTTTTGGGTCACCATCTTTAAAACCCTTTGAATTCAAGGATCAACGTGCCGTTTTCCTACTGTGGCGTGCATCCACAATAAGGCACGTGTCCTATAAAAGATTTTAGTACATCGGGTAATTTTTCAATAAATTGTTTATGCTTGGTTAAAACCATTTCTTTTTACATAGTTTTTATAGCCTGCGTTCCTTTCCTGCGTGTATATATGGCGGATCTTCGGTCAAATCATTTCTATATAGGGGTTTCCGATAGCTCCATATATCTAAATTTTGGGGAAATCATACGGTCTTTCCTGAAATAAATGAAAGTGGTAACACTGTAACAAATATAGCAAAGGTAATGTTTGGCAATAGTTTTATCCCACAATTTGCAACAACTCGGTTTCACGCCGACAACTGTCCGGCAAGAAAAGACTTTATTGGGAAGTCGCCCGAAGGTGATTCCGAATAAACTAGAAAATGATGAATTTAAGTTGAGAGAAATTTTGTCAACAAAATGTCTGCAATGATCATAATTTAAACCATACTTTACTATTCTTGTTGGGAAAAACAAGTTATAAAAAAAGGGTATTTTTAAATTCGATAACCTATTTTCTTTCCTTTTTTTTTTTGTTGTTTTTTTTTCTTTTTTTTAAATTTATAGATATATATTATTTTCCATCATTTTGGATATGCATAATTCAATTTACATATTTTAGTTTTTTAAACTTTTTTAAGGCGTGTAAAACGAGAATATTTACCATAAATATAATTGAACAAGCTTGGTTTTAAATGTTTTGTAAAAATAAAAGTCCAAAGCCAGATTATAGTTGAAATGGAACAAGGAAAAGCTTATCTATGAATATAAAGAATATGTCTTGCAATAAATATTTACTAACCAAGCTACCAACTGTTCCGGCGCCATATAGCACGGTGAGCCAACTATTTCGTTCTTCTTGGCATTTTCATCAATATATGTAGGGCTGGTTTTCCAAAATCTGTAATCTTTACTCTCCCATGTATATCCACCCAACACATTGTTGCTTTTTAATATCTCTATGAACTATGTTTTTCTTTATGGAGATAGTCCAAACCTTTCACTACATTGACTAGATATGAAACATATATGTCCTTCTTCTGAACGCTACATTTCTTACAATCTTCTTTAGGGAACACCCATTCACGTATTCCATGACAAGCCAGAATTTCTTTACAGCTTCGACATAAATTGCATCTAGTGCGGTGACAACATTTTCTTGGCAAATCCTCTTCATAATGGTGACCTCGTTAGCCAACACTGCAAATGGTTGTTTTTTAACTTCCATGATTTTTATGGCAACCATAGACCCGTTTAGCTTCGCTTTGGCTAAGATCACGTGCCCGAAAGTTCTGTAAATATACCAAAATTGAAAAAAGTTGACTAGAAATATTAATTTGGTACATATTTAATATAAATGAATTTACAAATAGCAAATCAAAAAAGGTGTAAAATAAGAGCGTTAGTTTATTGTGAGAGCAACATGTGACGAACTATTCTTGATGTTTAATCTCACATCAGACAAATTTTGTTCTCTTGACATTAAAATCATACCAACAGACGAATTATATGTCCTTGACATTGGTATATCAATTAAACGAACAGACGAACTATACGTCATTGGAATTGACACATCTTCACAACAGACGAACTATATGTCCTTGACATTTGTATATCACCCAACAGACGAACTATATGTCCTTGACATTTGTATATCATCCAACAGACGAACTATATGTCCTTGACATTTGAATATCACCCAACAGACGAACTATATGTCCTTGACATTTGTATATCACCTAACAGACTTACAATAAGTCCTTAACATCAATATATACATGACCTTCACATTGACAAATCTTCCAACAGATGAAATATATGTCCTTGACATTTGTATATCACCCAACAGACGAACTCTAAGTCCTTGATATTTGTATATCACTCAGCAGACGAACAATATGTCCTTGACATTTGTATATCACCCAACAGACGAACAATATGTCCTTGACATTGATACATAAGCACAACAAACGAACTATACGCCCATGGCATTGATATTTTATCCAAAAGACTATATACATGTCTCTTAGACTAACATTCATACATCACCCAACAGACTGACAATACGTCCTTCCATTTATAGATCACCACAGCAGATGTTCTTCACATTGACATATCACCCGACAGACAAACAGTACACCCTTTGAATTTTAACACAGGCCCCCCCAAAGGGAAAGAACTGTAAAGTCCTTTAGTTAAAATTTCCCCCCCATTTAAAAACCCTTTTTTGAAAATTTTTACATCACAGAAAAAATACGTACGTCCTTTATAATACTCTTATATAGCAGAAACTGGCAGAAAAAAAATCATCTTTAAATGCTATTTCAAAGATATCTAAATACAAAGACGTTACTAACCCGGAGTCAATGAGCTTTATTGGAGAATATCTTTGTTTGGGGTCATCACCATTTGACAAATTTCCTTAAAAAGAAATAATAATAAAATATAGAACAAAAAGTATGAGTAAACAAAGAAAATATTTATTTAAGCTACATCAAAACATTCTTCATTGTAATCTCGTGTTTTGTTTTCTCCGGAAGTGAAAACATGTAACGTTTAAAGCATTTAAAATGATTTATTTCAGTCACAGAATGAACAATTCACAGCTTAAATATAAAAGATAAATACATAATCATTAATACTACAACAAAATATGTGATAATAACTCTTTTAAATCTTTATTTTTCCACCTACTTTTTCATCTACATTGTATCGTTTACTTACTTAACATTTTGTGATATAACATGTCCACAGCTGTTGGCTGATCACGTGACTTTAATTTCTTACAAGCTGGTGTCGACACGTCCTAAAATTAAAACGATACTTTGAAGTTATACTATTTCAAAAACAATATTGAATAATATGTTTCTAAAATGTTTCTCGTAAAACTACAAAAGAAATGTAGACAAACGCAAAACATTTATCCTCAGAATATTCAAGATGTTGGATTAAGTTTTCATTTTATAAAACGCCCGTGTTAAGGAAGATTCTATGAAAATCTTGGCCTACTACTCGTGATGCTTATTAAGTTTAAAATTTTAAATTGGGATACATTTTCATTGGAAATAAATTGAAATTGTATAGAAATCAATAGAAAACAAAATTGATAAATATACAATTAATGCGCAACAGTCTTGCTAATTAAGAAAGAAAATTGACCAAAAGAGTTTTAAGTATGATTTACTAACTATGTGATTATTTTCTTGATTACTATGTAACCTGGAATTTTTTTTTTTTTCCCTTTTCATATTTTTTTAAATTAAATTTGTTTTTAGCAATAGGTTAAACAAATGGGGAAAATTTCCCATAAAAAACAATTTCTGAAAAATATACATTTACATATAACAAGCAGTGAATAGTTTTAACAACCAGATCGATCAATCAATCAATAATCGTTATTCAACAATCGGCATAAATATGCCTTTTTTTTGGACATTTATATGTAAATATTTTATAGAAATGTGGCCAAGACAAAACGACATAAATCTATGTACAATGATAATTGGGATATTATTAATCAAAGCATTAAAGGTACATACCTTTGCTTGTATTTGAGAAGATTTCTCCTTTAAAACTGTCTTGTTATCCAACTCTGACACATGGCTAAAATGTATAAAATTATATAACTTTTCAATCAAAAACATTACAGATTATACATGTAACTGTATCTATAAACAATTTATAAAACTCAAACAAAAAGGAAAAAAAATATAATACAATACAGAATTATTAATATCGGCATCAAAACGATAGATATTTTCCCATTACCTTGTATGTAATGTTGATCGACGGTACACACTGAGAATTCCGAACATCGAATCATCTTCATCATTGGCGTATAAGGCCGGTAATTCTGAAAGTAAAGTAACAAATGTTTAGCATTTAAAAATGGGCTTTTATCCATTGAAGTATTATTTGACGATCAGTGTTCGCAAAGAATCAAACTAGTAAGTAGAAATATGTTAATTTCATGTACGTAATAAATCCAAGTTAGTCGCATCTAGTAAGGAAATATATCCCTCGTACAGTATACCCTTGAATTTGTTTATTTTACTCACCGAACCCTGCCTTTGAACCAATAAAAATCAATTTTCATATTAATTCATGATGAATTTTTAGCAGTTTAAACCCATATTTCTAATGAAAATAACTTTTTTTGGCATAAAACACAATACAAAAGGCATACTATTTATTCTGTTATATATCACGCAAATAAACATTCTCTTTCTTAAATAAAAAGTAGAAGATCTACAGTATTGTAAGCTTTGCTTTCCGGTGATGTACAAAGATATATTGATGAAATACAAATCATATCACACAATCTCATTTCCAAGTTCCATACATTGAAACGCAAAGTTTCGCGCATCTTAAATATTTAATTATCACACACCCGTGCCGATTTTGCGACTCCGTAAATATGGTATTGCACGGCCGTGCATATATTTTGACGTGACGTCATTAGCGTTATACAAACATAGTGTAAAGACGCGCTAAATGTTAGCGTTATACTATAGGCGCGTCAATGAAACATGACTCTTATTTCACTTTAAACGGTGTTTATTTCTCGCCAGAGGCTCGCATAATATAATTTTATTCAACTCGTGCAATAAATTCAGTATTGAACTTACACTCATTCAATATCCTCTATTTATCATAAATTAGCTGGTGAGAAATATTCCATTTCAACTCAAACAAACAAATATTCTCTGTTTACCTTTTTTACCGCCTCTGTCCATGTTCCTAGATTACTAGAATGTCGCGTTTTAACATCTAAAGTGTTCTGCTTACCTTGAAACACTTTCCCTGTACGGATGACTATTTATATCTCTCAGATTCTTCGGATTTATCTTGCCGTTCTAATTACCTTCTTACAAGATGGCGGCTAGGAATCGTTCTCGTCTTGCCCGGACTAAATCTCGTACCTTCCGGGAACGGTATGTTCCGGATTACGGTTACACTACCATACCTCACCACACTCCCCCCGACTTTAAAGATGAAGTCCTCTCACTGGAAGTGCGGAAACCCGAGATTCAAGTCCACTCCTGGGTTTCAAACCAGTACCCACAGAACCGCCTTTACAGGCGTTGGCCTGTAAACACAGATTATAAGTGGGCAGGCATTAGCCTGTGCAACAGTAATCTGCCAAATGCCTATCTGACAAGTTATTGACAGATAGCTTAACTGGATAACTGATATCTTAGATATCTTACCTTCCTGGGCACTGTTTTAACAGCGGCCAGCGTCCAGTTCCTAAGCCGATTGCAGCTTACACCTCCACACCAAACCTGAGTGTTGACTGCAGATTTATGGAGCTACTTTTTACACCACAGCAGCCGCATTAACACAGAACAAGAAAGCAACAAACTTAGCATTGCACATTTGTACTTGTTAATATCCCAGGCTTCTGTTATTTCCCAATAAGATCTCCCAACAGCATCAAAGGCACCACAGCTTGCTTTGGCTGTAACCTCTGTTTTCCCTTGTATCTTCAGAACAGGACCTGTTGTGCCAACCTGCCCATGACCATCCGTCTTCATGCTGCAAATGCAATTCCACATGTCGTCACATGACTTGCATAATCCTGACCCCTGCCATCCTAGAAGAATGTCTTCTTAAACCTGGCCCTGGTCACTGCAACACCCCCGAGACCACCTGATGGTATACCCAGACTCATCTGAAGAACCTTTCTACTTATTGGGAATCTTACCTTTAGTATCGCCCATGTCCCTCAATAGAACTTAGTCTATTTATAGGTATTGTTCCTTATTCAGCCAGTGGGACATAGCCCCAGGACCTACTAGAACTACTTAATGACTTTGGCAATACTAAATACCCAGCACTAGCTCTTAGAACTAGCACTGCTGGCGGAAGTTACTCTACAGTTTCTAGCGAAAGCTGTTCCACTACTCAAAACTGTGCCCTATTTCCCCTTCCACCACAAGAGCATCGATCTGTATTCTCAATATCTGCTCACAATCTTACAGCATCTTCAAACACACTAAACTTTAGCACCATTGACCTGATTCTGTGCCTACAACCTCAATATTTGGACATTTGCTTCCTTGTGAACCTTTGCGACCCTTGTGACCTTGCAATTACTGACGATACAATATATCCGCAAATCTCTTCCAGATAATCAGCATTATTGCGATGATACCTTATTCCTTTCGTCAAACTTCATCTTCGCACACCTCGTGATACCTGGTTATCGACATTATTGTGATAATACCTTATGATTTGTCACGGTCAAACTTCATCTCCACACACCTTGCGATACCAAGAGAATTGCCACATCTAAGTCCCTCATGACAAGGTCCAAGTCAACCCTTGCGCAATGATCACATCCCCCACAAGGCAGTTTTCTCGGTTCGACCCCAGAAACATACTTGTACAATGCCCCGATACCGGTATTCGTGACAATGCAGCTTTGACATGCTTCTGACAAACACATAGGATTATGTTGCTATGGAACAACCCTCCTCGACCTGGCTTAAACTGTCTGTGTTACTTCTTTCCCAGCAATAACCAAATGAGCCTCGAATTGAACTGTTCTGCAATACACTTGCTAATGTTTCTTTACATGCTGTCTACATCGAGAATACATCCAGCATGGAACTTAGTCCATGACTGTTTCCTTCACAAACCTGGTCTCACTCCATGCTTAGCATGAAATGACGCTGGTTTGCGACTCTGGCGCTAAACGGAAGAACACATACTACCTCCTCCCCTTTTTATTTGATTTTTTTTATTGCAGCAAGGGGCAGTCAGACTTGAAATGACCCTCTTTTCCACAACCGAAACAAGTTCTTCTAGGCCATCTGCTTCTTCCTTGAGAAGTGTTCTCCTCATCTAGTTTCAGGACCATGTTGTCAAAACATCTCTGAAGCTTCTCAATTGCCACTTCCAAAGAACTCAACTGAGATGGAGCAGCGTTGGCTTGCGCAACCTCAGGAGCTTCTTCTAGGGCAAACACATTAGCGCCATCGTCAACAACTTCTTTACTAGCCCTCTTCTTAGAACGGCCATAAACTGACTGATGCAGGTGCTGATACCAGTGGACTTTATTCATTGCCTCCTCCATGGTTGAAGGTCTATCCATGGCTACGGCTACCGCGGCATCTTTGTCTACCAGACCCTCACAAAACTTGCTCACTGTCTGCCTATTGGAATAGTATTCAGGCAGGTCTTTGAACGCATTTGTCGCCAGGGTCATGACCCTATCTGCCCAATCATCAAGAGACTCCCCCTGCAGCTGTGAAGATTGCTGGAAACACACTTGGGCTGTTTCAGCAGGTTCCCTGGAACCAAATCTCATCTCCAGTTTCTGCAAGAGCTTCCGATAAGAAATATCGCCATCTCTCTCCACGATGATTGCATGATAGTCAGCGGCTTTTCCAGTCAGGCACCAGCATAAACCATCAAGGCATTCGTCTGACGTCCAATCGCATGCGTTAGCATAACGAAAGAACTTCTGCTTAAATGCCAGCCAGTTTCCCTTTCCATCATACTGCAACCTCTTCGGCAGACTCCGAATAAATGCTGCAGTTTCGGACTTTTTCGCGCTATGTTTAACTCTAGGTTGCGGAGAAGATTGTCTACTCAGTCCAGATAATTCATCACTTGAAGAATCATCATACCTAGCAGCTGTGTTTAGCTTGGGACGCGCCCCACCTCTCAAAGACTTGGCCTTTGAGGACAGGGGGTCAACCGCACTACTTGCATTTTTGGCGCGAATGATATCTTTGGCTACTTTCAAGACTTTTTGTACTTCTTGCCAATCATTTCTTGAAGGAATCTTGTCGGGCTCCTCAGCATCTTCATTGAAGTTCCCTTTTTCTTGAACTTCCAACAAGCTGTCCAAAATTGCTCGACTGTCCCCTCCTTCACCAGAATCTTTCCTTGACGAAGATGGTACTTTAGGTAGTATATTCCCCCAATCTAATGGCAACCCCTCACTTGGGGAGAAGTCCAGCAGAGCTACTTCTTCTTTATCTAAAGTGCGCTCTAACATGTCTTGCAGCACTCCGAGTGTTATATTCCCTCCACTATTACGGATTGTAATAATAGACTCAGCTATCCTTGAACTTATGCCCGGAATCCTTAGGAGTTCCTCTTTCGAAGCAAAATTAACACAAATTCTTTCGCTGCAACCTGCCATTATTTTTGTTCTTACTTGGTAGCCCAAAGATATAACAACGACTAATGCAGGAATTAGTTATAATTCGTGCAATTGGATTCAGTGAAGTTCAGCTAAAGTATGTCAAGTCAATCAGTCGTTAGACAGCAGACTTGCAATTATTTTACATTCGAAATTGTTTTAATGTATTACAGACAATTATTTCCTTCCCGAAAAATAATTTACATTTATTAAAACAATTCAGATTAAAATTATGATAGAATTTTTACTTAGTAAACTCAAATCAATAACGAAAATAAAATACAAAAATCTGACCTTGTTGTTTATAAATACAATGAGGATCTTTGCCTCTAATTGTAAAATTGAATATATAGTGAGACTTAGCCTTCAACTATATACATACAAACAAAAATCAAACAAGAGTAAATCTACTTTGTGTATTGACCTTGGAAAACAACAATGCAAATAAATTCAATCAATTATACTGAACCGCTGAAAATATACCAAAAATTTAACCCAAATATTATTCAAAAATATTTTAAATATAATGCTGAACTGGCACAGTTTTCACGTGCGAAACTGATCCAGGGCGGAAGCTTAGCTTTCCAATACGCATGCGTCGTAAGTCCGAATATCCGAAGTTTCTAAACTTACCAAAAGAGTACTCTAAATACTCAATTTTGGCAAATTTCCACATTAAATCATCTTGTTCAATCCAAACCAACAGTCCCTTTTCCCCCTCCCAAATATCGGAAATACTTAGATTTCAATATTTGAAAACGAAAGTTTTTATGGTTGAGAAAATCGCTGGTTTACCTCCGGATTGCGTAGAATTCCTACGAAGTTGACGTGAATTCGAATAGTAGCTGCCACCATTAAAGTGTTCTGCTTACCTTGAAACACTTTCCCTGTACGGATGACTATTTATATCTCTCAGATTCTTCGGATTTATCTTGCCGTTCTAATTACCTTCTTACAAGATGGCGGCTAGGAATCGTTCTCGTCTTGCCCGGACTAAATCTCGTACCTTCCGGGAACGGTATGTTCCGGATTACGGTTACACTACCATACCTCACCACACATCTCTAAATTAAATTCTTCATTCATTAAACAGTTTTTTTCATGATTTTATGTGATCTAGAATATACTGTTGCCTTTAGCATAAACGTCGTTTCCAATGAATGGCGCTAACGTCATACTGACATCATAGATGTCCGACGTCATAGACGTCAATTTGATTTCGTACTCAAACCGTTTCGTTCTAACATATCAGTTATGCTAATTGTTCACTGTATTTTAACACAGGACAAATGACTCTGATCAAAATCTGTTCAAATGAGGATGATAATCGATTTCATAATGTTGACCATTAACTGATAATTTTTAATTGCTAATAATACTATCATAAGAAAGAAGATATAAACACAGGTAAAACATGGAAAATACTTATGGCTACCATTGTGTTATAAAAGGCTGTCCGAATGTGTTTTACAATGATTATAATTATTTGTGTATACGAAATATCATTTTATCATTAAAACAAAGGAGAGTTAAATTATGTGTTCTTACAATATCAGCTCTATTAATTGATAAATATTTTCTTTAACATGAAGTACTGGGTAGCGCGTATTAAAATATACAAGCCTTACCAAATCTTTCTCTAATTGATTTAATTGTTAAAGAATTTTTTTCATAAACATTTTTAACGTAAAGATATGTATTTAAACGGTAATCTTGCACGTGCTAAACAGTAATCTTGCACGTACTAAATGGTTATCTTGCACGTACTAAACGGTAATATTCCATGTACTTAAGAAATAATATATCCCAAACTGTGATTTTATTGCTCAATAACATCACTGTTCGGAGTTCGGATGCGAGGAATTATATCACGAGGGCGTAGCCCGAGTGATATAATGATGCGCATCCGAACGACAAACAGAGATGTTATCAAGCAATAAAATCACCGATTTGGATATATTATTTCGATTCTAACACGACATCAACAAATAAATGCTGCCGTATCTGATATTTAGCTTCATGGCGCCTGATTTGTTTCCGTACTTATTGTCAGCGCGTCACATTTTTAGTGGTTACGTCACGTGTATAATGATTACGTCACATGTCTAAATATAGAACGTCAAACAGTGATTTTATAGCATAATAACACACACTTTCGGTTCTTCTATGTTCAATAGGGAAAAATGCGAGTCGTGTTAGAATAAACAATAATCTTGCGTATACAAAACAGTAATCTTGCATGTGCTAAACGGTAATCTTGCACGTACTAAACAGTAATCTTGCACATACTAAACAGTAATATTTGCATGTATTAAACAATGATCTTGCATTAACTAAACAGTTGTTATTATAACAATAATAATAATAATAAATAATAAA